TGGACTCTATCCTTTTATTTGTGTTGCATCTTTATACTTATGTTAATCAAGAAATTTTTTATTCAAGATTTTTATGTTACTATTTCATTTTTTAAAATTATTTTGTATGAATTTTTACTTTATCGTATGATTCTACGAACTTTTGAACTTTTTACGGGCCTAGCTAACTACTGCATACTTCTGAAGGACTTTGAACTCTTATGCCATTCACAGCTTCAAACTGTCTTCGCGCCATTTTCATGATGTCTCACTATTGCTTATCCTGCACTCTTACTAGCTATATAGAGCTCACCACCTGCATTTGCCATACAACTCACTGAACCTGCCTACATGCTTCAATTTAATGCCATTGCTTACCACTGCACAATTTTTATGATAAACGCCTACTTTCGTAAGTATTAAGATATGCCTGCTCACGCAGCTGAATTTTCTTCGCCCACGGGTGTTGGTACTTCCCTAGTACCATTTATTTGAAAATATCTTTGCCTAGTGCACTTTAATGCGATCTACTGGCAAAAACTCTTTAGTAGTTAATGACCAGAAAAAAGTAAGTCATAAGTCATAAGTCATAAAAATGCTAATTTTCGCCCTCATTTTTCCGAGTGGCAACAGTCTCGCAAGCTGGAGATGAAAATCTTCTTTTTTTCGAAAGTTGTTGCCACTGCTCGCTTTCAAACCCTAGAGTTTGTTAATAAAAATTTTCTAAGTTTTACGAAGAAATAAAAATAGCTTTGCCAAACATTAAATACATTATTTCCGATTCCAAAAATTCGTGGGAAACCATTTCGACTATTTCCATCTTCGTAAGACTTTAATCAGCCGAAATATTAATTAAAAACTCTGAAAGCGCTCATTTTCGCACTCATTTTTCCGAGTGGCAACAGTCTCGCGCGTTGGAGATAAGAATGCTTTTTTTCGCTTTCAGATCGTAGAGTTTGCTAATCAAAAATTTGTAAGCTTTACAAAATCTATAAATATAAAAAAGAATGTCTGTTTGTTTGTTTGCTTTATTGATTGCTGATCAATTATGATAAATTTTTTGGCACATTGAATCGACTAAAATTGGGTATAGGTTAAGTATTGGATGGAACTTGATCTCTTACGACCATTCGATTAGAAAGTACGAAAATCATTAAAAACTGCATGCCATTTATGCTGATACAATGAGATTATTTTTCTATCGAAATTTGTTTGTGAAATTTACATATCCTATCAGACTGAAAAATGTATGACTATGAATCGTATTTTTTTTGCATCGTTATTAGAGAAAGATTACAGTGTAACGTTTCCCTTCTCTAAAGAACACTTGGTCACCCACCCTAAAAGAAGGGACAGAGAACCCTCTGCTCGCCTCGGCCGGAAGAGGGGAGTGGACTTTCCCCCCCTGGTTGCACATGGAGGTCTCCATGTGGTCGCAGGTGGGAGTAAAGAGAGATTGAGATGTGAAAGAGAAAAAGAGCGGACGCTGGCTTGCGCGCTCTACTGAAGTGAAAATATATTATAAAGTTTTTCTAAATTGTAATCTGTACATAGTTGTATATAAAGATAAATATTTAGCCTAGAACAGGTCTTTTTATTTTGACGGAGATACGACTATGGTACAACAGCGTTATCGTTTTCTCTGTTGCTAGATGCATTACTCTCAAGCTAATGCCAATTAATCATTACTCTCAAGCGATTCCAATTAATCAAGCTAACTTAATTGGCATTGGGTACTTCCGCGAGTATTAAATAATTTGGTAAAATATAGCTTCGATGAAGTACCACTTTACGGAAGTTGAATATTATCAATAATTTAACGAGTGCTATTAAGTTGTCAGTGACTTGAGAGAACATGACATTAAGCAAAATTACACAATCCATAAAGCAACTGTAAAATATCATAAAAACTTTCTATATATGGACCATTTGCTGTGCTTTTAACACGATTTCTTTTTGCAGCTCCTAATAAACTTAATGCTCTCTCTTGAATTAGATTACGCGCATGGAATTTGATGTCAGCTTCATTTCTTTGGGTTGCAGAAAGTTGGACCACTTCTGCGATTACGTTTCCTTGCGTTTTACTGATGATATTGATTAGATTCGCGTTGCTTAATATCTTTTAGAACTCGTTATTTGTCCTTAATAAATATTACAGTTGTCAATTTAATTAATCTGCTGTCAGCTGGGCGCAACTTTCAGTGAGCTTTTGTTCTTTCTGTTGAAGACCTAGCAGATTAGTTGAAAAATTTCGGTAATTTTCCCGCTAAGAAATTTCTTTTTTATCAAAGCGAAATGGATTGCTTTCAACGAAGAAAAAAAATATGTGCTATGTAACTGTACCGTGAGCATTATTTTATTTGAACAAGTTTTCCTTACCGATCTGATATTTATATTGGAACAACTTATTTTTAGTTTGTTATTTGGCTTTGCGTTTTCTCGCTGCCGACACTTTAATTCTGACACTTCCAGATTTAACTTAACTTTCACTGTTCTGTTTAGTTGCATTACCACAAGCTGTGATTATATTGTAGCACAAGAAAGTGCCTTTGTGTTCTGAATTTCTTTTTAGATAGAAAGATTATTTTTAAACTTCTCAAGACTTTTTTCAGATAGAGCGATAATTCGCTTCACGTTTGTTAGGGTTATTGGACTAAACAACATTAGCAGATCAAGTGTAACCCTTCAATTTGTATTATTAATTATTTTATTAGATATTTCATTTATTTATTTATTTATTCCTTCTTTTTTGACTTCCATAGGGCTTCGGCATTTCTAGTTTTAAAAATTAAGCCCTGATAGTGAACCATATCGTGACAACTACCTCTTGTAGACGGCCACCTCTGAAATTGATCAATATTTCTGATAATATTATAAACAAACATGGATATTTAACATCGTCTGCTTAAAACCACCGCTTCCGAAATCCCGGAAGATCAAATTCATCCGAATTCGTGGGTGATTGCCTTAGAGGAAATTTAATTAAAATATATGAGTGTATGTGCTACGTAATGTTTCTGCGCTTTCCAAAAGTCCGTTCAAATTCTACAAAATTATAAAAATCAAAGAAATAAATAGATATAACAAAGTGCGATTTGCACAAAAAAAAATATTTGCAGAAAAAGAGAGGAATTTTTTTCACCTTTGGATAAATACAAGGAATACTCTCTAAAACGACCGTGTGAGATTCCCAGTAATGTTTTCTGTAGAAGTGGTTGTCTTAGAGGATGATACTCAATACCGATGTTTATTTATGTTCTCGAAATACTTGTCACTTTCAGAAGTGGTCATCTTAGGAAAGTAGGCGCCATGAGAGGTTCATTATAGTATTTGCTTCAATATTCCCCAAACAGAGGGTGCTACACTATACTTACAAAACAATCACAGTGAAAATTGCATTAAAAATGTATTGGTTAGTTTCTTATGTCGGTAGATGTCTTGTGGATACGCAGACGACTTCGATATCAACAAATATTTTTGCTATTTCAAGTGCGATTTTTTACTGCTGATTCTGGCCTTTGTCGAAAGCTGAAATAAATGGACAGGTATCCTTACAATGAGTCAAAAATGTTAATAAACTTTAAAGCTATATCTTATATCTTAATAATAAGCTTTATATCTTATAATAACTGGATTAAGTCTGAGAAAATCTGTATACGTATTTTGATATCTTTCATATTGTATTTTCTTCCTTGTGTTTCAGATATTAAAATATTTTAAACAAAATAAAAAAAAAATTCTTCCTTCATCGATGTAAAACTTTAATCGGCAGGGAGCGTATACTATGGATAAACAAATCACTATTTTTAGCTATTTTGTTTTCAAATTAAAAAATAATATATAATTAAAGTGACCAATTTTAAATCGAATAACATTTTCATCATTTTGCCCTATATAGGGTCTATACAGTTGGTCAAAATTTCAAGAAAGTTTGATCAACTGTATGATAACCATTGTTACTGTACGTAACCATTGGTCCAGTTTGAACCAGTGGTTTCAGAGAAATCAGGCGCGCAACCAGGAAAATTATATTTTAAAGAAATTTTATTTATGTTCTAAGGATATAATTAATTTCAAATCATGTAAATGCACATTATTTTCTTAATATTGATAAAGAACAGAGCTTAAATTGCGCCGAACCCCACAGGAGTACTTCTCAGGTTTTGAGGTAAATCGGCCCGAGCACGTCGGAGTCCTAAATAAAAGGCTGAGGTACGTATATCTTTCACGTAAGTTGCAGGGTTTATATTTATTTTAACTAACATTTATTTTAAGCTATCTTTACTGTCAAGCCTTACTTTCCCCTGGAATTGCCAATGCCAGAGTATGCAAATTTTAGTAGAACGCGCAAAGTATTCAAATTTTTAGAAGAAGTAATTTGAGTTAAATAGAAGGGAAACGAGTTCGAAAGTGTGCTTTCTTGCTTCACGAGCGTGAAGGTTGCTAGGTAGAAATTTAAGAACCGCACGTTTCGGCCTGTGAGCCTACTTCTGCAGTTAGTTGAATCTTTCAACTTCTTATTAAGAAAGTTTGCTGAAATCTCAGCTGTATCTTAGAACGCGGTTAATTTAGTCACGTTTATAGAGCCTCGTAGGTAGTGACTTGTTATTTATTCATTTTTAGTTGTAGTTTGTTATTTTTATTTAACCGCCGGGTCGGCGTAGTTTGTGAACGCATCTGTAACTTCTAAAGTGGAATAAAAAGGGAGTTAAACCCTTCTCAAGAGTTCGTGTAATTCCAGTTCATAGCAGTCACTACTATTGTTGCGGGCAAGTTGGGGCCACGCAACATCACAAAGTAAAACATAATTTCAGCAGATAAATTTTATTTTAAAATACATATACCTTTAAAATTGGTTATAACTTCCGAATTTCTGCCTGTCTTTCTCTGGGGAACAAACAATTTGACAGACTTTTAAGGAAAGAAAAGCCCGCATCCACATGTCAAAGACTCCAGGTAGAGCAATAAATTTATGAAAGCGGGTAAAATGTTTTGTTCCTCAAAGTATTAACAGTGATTACCTTTGGTCTTCCACGTCTAGTGCTAGTAATCTTGTCATCGGATGGGATTCAGGGAAAATTTTTTTGCCCAGTCACATTCTGTTTGACAGCTAGAATTATATCGACAGGGCATCAGAGGGCTCTTTCAGAGGTTCCAGCACTTTTGATTTTATAAATTAAGCCTTGAAAGAAAAATAAAGATATGTTTATAGGTTAAAATTATTATGAATTCATACTTATATATTTAAACAATATTGCATACATAATCGTCATACATTTGTTTGAGATGATGGAAAGTCACCAGTCGAAATTTTCATACGATTTCAAATGTAATTACAGTCCTATAAAATTTCTTAAGTTAGAAACGCGGTAACCGATCATTTTATGCAGATATAGTGTTTATAAAATTCATCAAAATTTTTGGAAATTAAAATCAGCCAGTTCAGAAAAGTCACGCGCCTACAAGCAGGAAATTCATATTTTTATGAAATCTTAACTGAAAAAAGAATTAATTTGAAATGTTACAAGCACGTTAATTTCTTAAATTAATATTAGACCAGATATGCAAATAAATTAACTTTCCTCTCGTGTGTAATTATATATTTGTATGAAATTGTATTCAGAAGAATGTTATGTGTAGTTAAAGGTATTTAATACGAGGAATTTACTGAAATGCATATGTAAACAAACCGTCTGACCCTTTAATTGCTAAAGCTTAGAACAGCTTTTTAACATTACATTAGTTTTAGAGAGAATTTTAACACCGAGTTTGCTTTAAAATGCTTGTCAAAAGTCAAATTTTAATATAAAAGCATAAAAAGTTCGAATTAAAAAAATATTTAAAGGTATCTCTTCCCTTTAATATTCTTTAAAAATGATTTCTCCTTCGTACGATTTACTTTCACGTTAAATCTTACGCCGCTGTATTCAGTTATATGAATTCTGCAAAATTTTTATACCTGCACAAACTTTTAGTGCATTCCTTATGCTTAAAATAAGCTATACTTTTAATTAATTATTAAAATCAACGTTAATATGATTCTAATATTAAAAAAATCCTTTCCTTCATTTTCCAAGTACTTTCTGTACAATTTATGCATTAAATGTAATTAGTGGCATCACTGCTTAAGGGAATTTAAGAGAATGTGAGGTGAATGAATGTTAACACAAAAGTTCTGTAAATATGAAAAAATTTCCGATAGCAGTAAAACTTCAGAATCACCAAATTATGCTGTAAGGATAATGGTACGATAGAGGTAAACTATACAATTATCGTTACTGGCGATTAGAAGAAAAAAACTGGTTTAATCTCGTTATTGTGTAAAAGCAATGTGTGCGTTTCTGGTATGTGCGCAGTTCGAAAAACATATCTACAGAAACTGCGTTTCCTGTAGAAAGGAGATGTTTTTAAGTTTTACCTTTTATTAGCCACGTATATGTTAAATATAATTAAATTTTAATAGAATCAAGTCAGATATTTTTTTAAACTTAGAATTCGAGAAACCTTTTCACACGATTTTGGGCCCCCTGAGGGGTATTTTTATTACATACTTCAGTATTATGTTAAACAGCAAATAAAATTTTAGTTCGAATCTCAGTCCAAGAATCTTGATTATTATTTAATAACCTCCATGTTCATTACTAAAGCTAGCGGAATGACCTGTTCTTTTTCAGTTTCTTTATCACGTAGGTGTAACAAATAAAAAATAATAAAGCATTAAAAAAATCTGAAAGCTTTCTGATTTTATATTACGTCCAAAGGGACTTTTTTTTAACGTTTTGTGTATTACTTTTATTTATTATATATCATATTCGTCGCACTTCAACCATAAAATTCAAAGAACATATCTTTAGAATTTCCGATACAGTCTCGCGATCTGGAGATAATTTTGTATTCGTACAGTGTTGCCATTGCTCGCTTTGAAATCGCTGAGTTTATCAAAAATTTGTTAAAATTTTACAAAATATTAAATAGATAATAAAACTAATTCGGAATTCAAAATTTGAGTTTCCAGAGGCCCATATTCGAGTGGAGGACTGCGTTATTTAAAATTTGATATCTCTAGGTACCGTTGTTTTTTCACAGAGCGAGAAACATGCATCCATTCATGCAGATTCTTCATTATTTAATTTCGTTAAATATAATGCCGGGCTCTAATATTTGGTGGCAACAATTTGAAAAGTGAAACGCCTTTCTATAATGAACCAACGCAAAATGCCAAAACGAAATTAAGACCCCTTCTGGGCAAATTGTCCCTTTGGGCTAATAATATTTGAAATAATTCATTTTCTTATTTGTTTTACAATACTTGAGAGAGATGAATTTATATAGTATACTATTTTCGCTTATAACGTCTCGTAGTCTTTGGTAACGTCTTTCTTAGAAGTGAATTATCACTATGTCCTCTAAAGTACACAGCGAGAGGGAAAGTATGTAAAAGACCATTTTATTGAACTCAAATAAAAATTAACAGAAGCCATCAATTGTGCTTGCAGAAGCTGGTATTTATGGACTTAAATCAAAGATAATGAATCTGATTTAACTGAGTAAAGGGTAAGTTAGCCTAACAGCTACACAGATAGGGTAACGCGCAAGCTGGCTCTGACCTAAAGTCGGATTGACAAACCTAATGGCGAGAATAACGCAATGCCGCAGAATACTACTCTTAGGAGAATCAAATTAGATACGTGGCCTTCAGCAGGCAGAACCACGCTTTGATTTTACCCTATAAAACTTTCCTTTCAATACTATCTTCTTAGGACAGAAAAGTAGTTTAATATAAAATATCTGGTTCATAATCTAGACGAGACCTTACACAGTAATAATATTAGGTTTTCATTCTTCTCGCTGATAATACTTACAGCTTTGAAAAAAGGCAGCGAGCTGAAAGATTCTCGAAACAACATCTATGTAAATAGATAGGCTGTGTATCATCTGGCAAGTTGCAGACTGAGAAAGTATTGTTACGTTATTTTCTTCCTTTACGTTCGAACGGAGTTCGTGTGGATTTGGAGTGAATAACGACGACACTTTATTCAGCCAATATTAATCAGGACAGCTTCAAAGTCACGTTTTACAGTCGTCGAAGATCTACTATAAACTCGCTGGAATTATCAGCGACAGAGCCTTCACACTATCAGGCTATAACGGTGGAGACAGCTTCACCGCAAAGCACCAAAGTACAGCTCCCGACTCTGCTTGGTCGTTCTCGGAACTCCACATACTCTCGAGACTCTCCACGCTACAACTCGCGATGCTCTCGACGACACACAGAGCACAGCTCCCGACTCTTCGGCTCAGTCGTTCCCGGAGATCAACACGCTCTCTCGACGATGCACTAACCGCAATACACTAAGAGACTCTTCGATGCACGCGACGACCCACTCGGCACTCGCTGCTCGGCTGTCAACTCGATCGACTCCTCACGAACTGACTAACTCGAGGCTAACTATCTAGCACTCTAGACGAAGCACAATCTGACTGCGGAGCAGCAGGGTTTATATAGCTTCCGGCTTGTGTTCGAGAACATTCTGGGCTAAACCGGTTAGAATTCGTTCCAGAAGGTTCTCCATCCGTCCATGGCACATCGCCAATTTTTCGCCAAATGGGGCAAGAAATTGGCAGTTTCTCGCCAAATGTGGCAACCCTGCTTTTCCTTGGTATTTCATGGCAACCCTAAACCTGCTTTGCTGGGAAGCTAGTATCTCACAGCGCTTGTACATTTCGTAACAGTATCATAGTTTAATTTTGTTGAGTTTTAGCGAAAGATTACAGCTTTTAATTTCTATTGCTTTACATTTAATACACCCAGACTGAAAGGGGGTGTATTAAATGTAAAGCAATAGAAATTAAAGGACACATGCATAACAAAAAATACATTACATGGAGAAAAAAAATCCTCCATGTAATATATTTTTTAAAAATATTTTTCGAAAGCTAAAAATAAGTAATTATTAGATTATGACGTGAAGGCAAGCTGTATAGTCATTAGGTTTATTTCGGAACAGGAACTATTAAAAAAAAAACAGCAGTGTTCTAGTCGGGATGGATTCGAACTTTGGACTTCCAGATTGTTAGCCTATCTATTTTCCTGATTCCAATAACTCCACGAAAGCGCGCGATAAGGAAGGAGAAAATTCCTTAGAATCTGCTCTAGTTAAAGGACGACTGGAAAGCAGAAAACACAGTCGTCAAATCCAGGTGGTGACAAATTATCGTTCACTACATGTTAGTTGAGGTGCCACTTGTAGAGTCATTAGTTTTATTTTGGCGCGAGAAAGACGAAATATCAATAATGCCTTCTCCGAGATTCGAACTCTAGATCTTCCGATGCTAGCCGGACGCGTTTCGAATTACACCACAAGAGTACGTGATTAAAAAAGTTGGAAATTCCGCGTGAAATCATTTGGTTAGTCTTGTTCGTTAAATTAGGCGAAATTTTCTTTAAATAACCGATGGAAAGCCCCACTCCACGCTAGTTTATAAATACTGTGCTGTTGAATGCCAGGTGTAGTTATTTTTAAGTTGTTCACTTAGTAACAGAAACAGGTTTCCGTTTACAATTAAGTTCGAGCCTGTCTTTGGTGGCAGGTTACTAAGAACTACTCGTTCGCCTGTTTTATAAAAAAATCATCTGGAACTGGAGCTTTAGTGAAATAACAATATTTGAAGGTGAGATATCCAGAATTTTAGAAACTACGATTTATCACAAATATTCAAAAATATAGAACTAACTCCTTTCTATAATTTTTAGTCCAAAGGGGTTTTGTCCCTGACGGACTATTGTTTTCGTTTTGCGATTTTGCGTCGAATCACTCTGAATGTTTGTTTCACTTTTCAAACTGTTGGCACCAAATATTATCGCCCTGTATTATATTTGAAGAAATTAAATAATGAAGAATCTGCATAAATGTATGTATGTTTCTCGCATTGTGATAAAGCAACGGTACCTAGAGCCATCCAGTTTTGAATGACGTAATCCTAATGTGAATAGGGGCATTTGGAAGCCCAAAATTAAAATTTGGACTTTTACAAAATATGAAATTAATCTTTTATTATTAATTTCATATTTCGTAAAATTTTAACGAATTTTTGATTTACAAACTGAACTATTTCAAAGAGAGCAATGGCAACACTGCGGCGTGGGGGAAAAAAAAGAAAAAAAAAAAAGAGAGAGAGAGAGAAGAGAGAAAAAGAAAGGAAAGAAAGAAACATTTTTATTTCCAGCGCGGGAGATTGAAACGGAAATTCTAAAGATATGCTCATTTTAAAATTATTTTGCGATATTACTGTTGAATTGAGTTTTATGGTTTAAGTGCGAAGAACATGATATTTAATAACTAAAGATGTTAAAAATCGCGCTTTTGGACGTAA